TCAAAATTCGACCAATACGAAAAATTAATTAAAGCAGCGAATCTATCGAAAACACTTACTAGACATTTTTCAAGAAAAAGAGCAGCGAAAATGAGACTTCTACAAATATGAGCTTTTGTATTTCAAGTGAAATTGCCACTGCTTGGAAATCCTTTACTGAAGGCGAATTTGTAAAGAAGTGCATGCTTACTGCTTCCTCTGAATAATGTCCCGAAAAAACAGTGCTATTTCAAAACAAAAGCTTATCGTGAATGACAGTGCAAAGAAGAATATATTTTCACCAATCTTCACGAACAATTAATGCAGAAAGTTTGTGAAATTTCTTTTTCTTCTTTAGCTATGGAAAAAAGCACAGCTTTAAAAGACACCGCCCAACTCCTTATCTTCATTATAGGTGTTAATAAAAAATGTGATATTACCGAAGGACTTGCTGGAATGTGCTCAATGCCAGGTCGCACAACCAGAAAAGATAACTTCAATGAAGTTATAAAGTATTTGAAAGATAATTTTGAATAAGATTTTATAAAATTAGGGGCATTTGTACCAATGGTGCCCGGAATATGACGGGTATTAATACGGGAGCAATGGTGCTTCTTGAAAATTTTATCGGAAGGCAAAAATCAAAATATCATTGCATTATTGATGTGCAGGCCTTGTGAGCCAAGTGTAAAATTAGAACATGTTATGTCAGTTATTGTTAAATAGTCAACCACATAAGATCAAGAGGACTCAAACATAAGTCTTTTCAAGTTTTTTCTTGAAGATATAGACTCCGTCTAGAGAGACGTAATATACCATGCAGAGGTGAGATGGTTGATTCGAAAGAAAGTTCTTTAGCGATTCGTTGCTTTGAAAAAGGAAATAACTAAATTCCTAGAAGACGAAGCAGAGAAATTCCCTGCGCTTGAAGATGAGTCCTGGAATCATGACCTCTTCTTCTTTTTGTGATCTTACAAAACACCTAAGTGGCCTTAACGTTCAACGTCAAGGCAACAACTTGTATTTGAAATGTTTTCAGCAGTAAAAGTTCTTAAATTGAAAAAGAAACTTTTCAAAGACCCATTTACTAAATGGTGGAATGAGTCACTTCGCCACTTGTGCACAGTATATTCCTCATGACAAGCACGTCGAGTTTGGAAAACAATTTGCTAATGAAATTAATCTTTTGATAGATGCATTTGATAAAATGCTCACGCTTTCTAAAGAAGATGAAATTCAGTTTAAACTAATTGAAGATCCATTTTCTGTGAATCCCGAAGACGTATCAGTTCAATTGCAGCTGTAGCTTAGCGAACTAAAGTGTTCGGCAATGTACGGAAGCAAGCACACGGATAGCAAGCAGCCTGCAGGAGTTTTAGAAAAATCTGAAGAATGAGAAGAAATATTTACGAAGTTGCACTAAAAACGTTTAGTCTTTTGGAACAACTTGTCTATGATAACAGACATTTTCAATAATGAACTTTAATAAATGCAATCAACTCTCATGTTTGCTGATGATCATTTGCAAGACATATTGAGAACAGCCATTTCCAATATATCTCCTGAATACGACAAAATTATTACCGAAAAACGATGCAATGTTTTACATTAAATTTATTTCGTAAGTAACCAAATATTCTCTTTAATTATTTTTTTCTTAATAGCCTCCTTCCCCCCCCCCCCCCCCCCCCCTTTTTTTTTTTATAGCCCCCCTCCCCCCCCCCCCCGGTCTATTTTTCTTTCGGCCCGCACCAGTTTTTCATGAATTAGTATTGCCTGCCTTACATTTTGAGTTGTGCAGGCCTGCTTTAAAAGATGAATATAACATATCTCACACTTTAGTTACTGGCTTTTAGCTATTGAAACATAGTTTTTTTCTCAATACATAGCCCTACCTTATTGGCCAACGCCCCACCTTAGCACATAATGTTTAATGTCCTACCAACCAGCTCCCTTTGCAATTTAATGTTCTTCACGTTTTTATCTTCTAGAATCCAATTTATAGAGAAAATAAATGAATGAATGACATTTTTTTCTTCTTGTGAAATACATTGAAATTTAAAAATAATACATCATTTATTAAGTATTAAAAATTAGTTAAAATAGTGAATAACAGACCGCAAATTTAAAAAAAAATAATAATACGAATACGTACATCAGATGTTATGAATCTATTGTTCACATGTACAAGTGTGGAGGTAACATACAATCTTGCGACAACTACCGCAGTATATCATTTATATCGATCACAAGCAAAATACGTTCTAGAATCTTGCTTAACAGTCTTAATAAACATCTTGAGAAGACTTCCCTGCCAGAAAAGAAAAGAGTAGTTTTCCCGAAGAAATCAAAGCAATGAGCATGATGTTTGTGGTCAGACAGCTACAGAAAAGTTCAAGGGAAAGAAGAGGGACCATTTTCTCGCTTGTCCTAAAAAAGGCGCTCAACACTTCGAACAGTGTAGGTCTCATAATAATACTCAAATGGCAGGATTAAGTAGCAGACACCAGGGTACTAACACAGGCAATTCTTTTAAGCATATATATCATTCTAAGGCTTTTCCAGCTACTCTGGGTGGAGAATGTGGTGCCAATATAAGATGACCGCTTGCCCACAAAAAATGTTTTATTGCGAAATATAAAATAGAAGTTAGTTTGAGGGTGATATTTTTTACGAAGTCTCCTTGTTGGCGTTTATGCTGCAGACCACAAATGAAAGTATTGGTTAACTCTGAGCTATGTCATTGGCTCAAGAAAAGTTCGCGCAACAATCGCTTTTACCAGCTATATGCGCGCCCCACAAACAGAAACAGTCTCAACAGAAAGCTGATGAGGAAACAGGTTTTGATCGATTTCGACGGACAAATTATTTTTATTATTTTTTTATAGAAACGTAAGAGGAGGTAAGCAAAAACATTCCCCACCCCCTTCCCAGAGGCATAGTATGGTGGGGGCAGGGGGGACAGATGTCCCCAGGCGCAAGGTAGTTAGGGGCGCCAAAATGTGCCATGCTATTATTTTATTGATGAAAATAATGGGTTTGAGAGTTGAAAAAAAGAAAAAGGGGCTCTAAAAATAGATCTTGTCCCCGGGCGCGAATCTTGTCCCCGGGCGCCAAACACCCTCGCTACGGCACTGCCCCTTCCCCACCTTTTTTAACACTTAAAAAAACTTTTAAAATTGAAATGACATTTAATGAAATAGTATTATCCTGATTAACAATTTTATCAGAAGCCTAATATCATCCATCCGTTTTAATATGATCACTCCCATTTATACTTTCACCATTTATGGTTTCATACTGATGTGAATCGTCCAATGGGTTGGGCGTGTCCTGATTAACATTGCTATCGTCACTACTTCTGTCGACTACGACGATGTAACCATCCGCGACGTTATCTCTTTGGTCTTGGCGCCTCAATTCAAAGGTCCCCGCATTTTCGCTTTCTTTCTTCGTTAACTGGACTTTTCCTTAAAGAAAAAAAAAAAACACATTTTGGAATGAGGGTTATCCATAAACTACTCTTGTTTTTTTTTGTGTCTTTTTTAAATTGTATTTAACTTATGTTGAAACACTATTTAAAGCAAGGAGCGATCGAAGTCTGCCAATGTAGACGTTAGTTTCATTTGCATCTGGTTTATGCAATTAAAGATAAATATTGAATGGATAAAGACTAGACAAGTATTTACTTGTTTTCTTTCCTTTTGTTATGAAGACTGCGAGGAGAGGTACTAAAATTAGAATTGCTATCACAATAACTAAAAAGATGATCACCAGCTTAATCGAGAAGGCTGTCGAGAAAGATTCCGGAGGTGCCCCGTTGTGTTCTGGATATGAAAGAGTGATATTTTTAGTACAAGTATGCCTTTAAAGATGACAACGTTTGAATTCAAAGCGAAACCACAAAATTAATTACAAAGCACAAATAAAATTATTACACAATAAATTTTAGTAAATATAACATTTTTGCATTTTTATGGATTGGTTAACGTAATCTTCGCCTGGGTTTAACTGAATAATGTTCAGTTTAAATATTCATTCACACACACACACATATTTATATATATATATATATATATATATATAACAATTTTTACTTAAATATATTTTTTTAAAGTAAGGCTTTTCATAAAACACAAGATTGAAAGAAATTTGCTTGGAAAAAAAGGAATTCATTTTGTGATCATAATACAAATAGTTATATTGCTGTTTGATATATTTTCATTTAATAATCTACAGAAATATAAACAGATGATAAAACTAATAAAACATGTTAAATTGATTAAAACAAAGTTATCAAACATTTTTTATGTTTATTCTTTGCAAAATAAAAATAGTTTTTTTTTCTGTTGCAATATAAAATTAAGAGTGCTTTTAAATATATTTTTAAATTAACATTTCTAAATATATACAAAATATAACACTTTTTTTGTCAAAAGTGTTTTTGATTTTCAATTCAATTTTGTTTCAAATCTTATGAACAAGTATTCATGGTATTTTTTCTCGGAACACCATACAGTGGGATAACGTAGACACATTTTTATTTTCGAGCCTCTTAGACTTTATGCTTCCTTGAATTACTCACCATTTATAAAAAAATAAATCCTTTCTTTAGACCGGATGTTATTGGGGAGTATTGTTTATTCATAATTTAGAAAATGCACACATATTTAGCAGTAGTTTGTCAAAAATTATATTTAACATACAAGCAGAGGATTGTGTGATAAATTGAATTTGTATGTAGTTTAACTTAATTTTGTTTTAATTTAAATTTAAGATAATAATCGATTAGGTATTTAAAAGAAAGTAATTGTAGTTTTTACCTGAAGTCAAATAGAAGAAGTAATTAAGAGATTCATTTTCGTTGTTATCAATGATGAAACGATAGTCTGTCATATCATCAATTCCAAGAAAATATAAGGTCAAGTTTGCAGTTCCATATGGTGACATTGTTTCCTCGAAATCGACCGAGTAGCGTCGTTTATTTATTTTTCCGTTCTGATCAAAATCAATTTTCATAAGTACCGAACCATTTTTAATTAATGTGTAGTTTTGGGGGAAAGGATAACCATAAATTTCAATGACGATGGAGACAGTTGTGTTTTCCTTGACTTCCATGATTGTCTTGTTGATATGTGGATACTTTAATTGTGGCGAACCTTTAAAAAATAACAAAATTAAAGATTTTCAAAACTATATATTATTAATGTATTCATTTTTAAAGAGAAGACGCCAAACATTATTGCGGTTTTATTTTACTTAATGTATGCAATTGTGAGACGATTCTATAATGGGCTTCAAGTTCAATCTTCAGTGTCAGGAATTGGGATAATATTGTGAAGAATGCACAGGATAAGTATGTAGACAACGACAGAACATACACTATTGCCCACTGCATAATTAAACGTTGGTTGCCAAAAAGATGGTAGGTTCATTTAATCACAACAAGAGAACCATAGATTGATAAAACCATCAAATCACATATAAATAAAGAACTCAGTATAGGAGCTGCTCATTCCTGTCGAAAACAATCAGGGACTTGAACAAGCTGTCAAAGGGAACAGTTGAGGCGAAGGCACTAGACTCATTTGTGTCTATTGCCTCAAGCCTTCAAAGCCCCAGTGCATGATTCCCTCAAAATGTGGCATTTGCAATCAGTGAAATGTGCTCATCATCACCAGACACATAAACATTGCAAATCCCCTCTACATGCATTGGAGCCAAATAGATCAATAAATTGATCGTGGGCCCTTTATATATAGAAGAAGAAAAAGAATAACCCATGCAAAGCAAGATACAACAGCAAAGATGTTTGTAAGGTTATAACTTAAATGAACACAAAACAAACTATTTAACGTACACGTGGAATAAATGCTTATGTTTTTTTGTAAGGCGCTGTCCTCTTGTAAAGCTGAACAAGTGAACGTGTTAAACGTTTCACACGTCATTGTTTGAGACCAATGGAGTTCTTCGTGTAGTGCAAGATTCTCTTGAAGCAAGATTGGACCATTGAATAGTTTAAGCTGAGGTATGGGAAAACCATTCCCTTTGCAGATTAGTAAAATGATTGCGTTTTTGACAACTCTGAATTCTGCCCCAATTATTCCATTTAATGTAAAACTGGTTATATTTGGTGGATCTGAAAAAACAAGGCAGTAACTTTTTAAATCGATTTTAGCATGTTTTGTTTTCCTTCATGTAATAACAAAAAAATAATTTAAGCTTATACCTTGCACATACGTATGTATTAATGGATTAAAAAAAAATAATTTAAAGAGTATACACACTTGATTAATTTAAAATTATTATAGTATTAATCATTTAAAAGTATTTTTCTCCAAGCATTCGATCATCATTTTGATTTGTGGCCAAAGAAAATTCTGAATATTCTTTTAGATTCTAAAATACAATAAACGGCTAAAATAATAAAAACAAAAATTGAAATTCAAACAGAGAGGTATGTAATAATGATAATAAATGGTATATTTAATTTCATAATTATTTAATGTGCATAATTATGTGTTAATGAAATTGTAGTTGTTACGTCAAATAATAGTTGTATGCATAACGCTGATTGTTTTCTTTTACTAAATAGTCTATTGATCAAGAGTTATGGTCTTGAAATTGTAAGAAAAGATCAGCCCGTGTATGAGTATGTGGCAACACGTGCGATTAAAAATGTTAAAATTAACGATACAAAAATAAAATTAGATGTCAATTTGAAAGCTTTCAATTATATATAATAATTACAACTTACACAAAACATTTGGCGCGTAATTCAAGAAAAGGCTTCTCCAACCAAGTATATTTCTTGATGAACAATTGTAAACTGTAAATCAGAGTAAAAATGTTTTTGTCTGTCTTACAAATAATTTCAAATTCATGGCTGAGTCATAGATTTTATATTTTTAAAAAAAATGTAAATAGAAAATTTAATATTCCAATAATTTATAACATTTTTTAGTATTTATTTTCAAAACAAAATAAATTTTAAATAAAAAATCCATGTATACTAGATAAGAGTATAATATATATTATATAACCTCTAAATTTAGAATAAAAATAATATAGTTAGACAACTTTTTAAAGATAACACTTACAAGGTATTTTATTTTTTACTGGGTAAAATGTTAGCACGGATGAGTCGCCTACAATATTTCCATTGGCATCATGCCATGTTACGGTAGAATTAAAGACACCTGAATCATTTGGATGGCATTCGCATGTGACTAATGTACCTTCTTTAATATTTTGAGGACAGTATTTCAGCACCACTCTTGGATTATCTACAATTAAAATACAAATTCAACACAATTCAACTTTTTTGTTTCAAATCATTTGTGTTATAAAATATAAACATAAGCCATTTAATTATTAATTGTTATAATTTCATAAAAGTATTACATATTTTTAATGAAGAAAGCATGTTCAATTATCTCTTGAACATTATTAAACATGAAATGCATATTGAGTGTATAAGTTTATTTTCTATTTAAAAAAAACAACAACAATAAACCATTTACTTGCCGATGTTAAATGAATAATTCCGGTAATTTCCATAAAAAGTGTCACTTTTATCTCCAGTTACATTGGGGAACATGGTAATATTTATATCATACAATCCAGGTCTGAGATGTGCACTTGGTATTTGTAAAATGCAAGTTGATTTATAGTACGTTGGTAGGTGGGAAATTTCCAAATGGTCGTGAGATGTTATATAATAAAATTCCATGAGCAGCTGATGTAAATAAGTAGTATATATGCTATTACTGTTGACACAACTTCAAAAAGTTTGGCATAACTTCGTCGTAAAAATAAAGTTAGAAAAACAATTGTGCCTTTAGTTTTAAAAAAATATTATAATTGTGACTGCAGCTTTAAAAAATGTGTAAATGTATATTTATTTAATTATCTGTTCCTATTTTATTTTGCTGTATACATTTTACAAAATACAAATAACACCTATATTAAAGGGAAAATAGATTAAAAGGATAAATTACTTGTTTAGTTGCTTACTTTATTAAAAGACACAAAGTAGCGGCACAAAGCTTTTGGGAATACTTTCTTTGTTTCACATTTGAGCCAAAAGCCGGTAGCAAGTACGTAGTAAGTACACATCATCTCTTGTATTTTTGCTGTTTCAATAGTGAAATAAGAAGTGCTTGCATAATTCCTCCCCCCTCCAACCCCCCCCCCAAAAAAAAACAAAAAAAAAAAAACAAAAAAAAACCAACAACAACGTATATTCAAAGAAAGAAAGAATTGTAAATGTAATTTAAAAAACATGAATTTTTCAATCGTTGGTTTAGTCAATGTCAGAATGTTACAGATTGCATTAAGTCAAAAAACGTAACAGACCATTAGATCGAAAGTTAAATGACTGTTAAACGTTCTTCTCTTTGATAAAATAAATACGTTTCTTAATATTCATAATAATTTATTTATATTAATTTTTAGTCATCTTCAATAACATTATACGCTGTTCAAAATTAAAACAGATGTAAATATTTACGCAATTGTATACTATTTTGTTTTAAAGCAAATACTTTGACGATGCTCTGAATCATCAATGAAGTTTCGAAGTTGTATTTATGATAACGTTTGAAGATTAAAAAGTGAAATAAGGTCAAGGGAGTCTTAAATTGTATTAAACCTTAATCGAATAATTAAAAACTCAATAAACCTGTGCAGACATGTGGTATGGTTCTTTATAAAAAATAACATATTATTATATTGAAGCCTGAATCGATGCTTGCATTATCTACTTACAATATACGTTCAGACTGCACACGTATTCATCTTGCCTTGAGCTACGTTTTTCTGATTTGCCGATATGATACTCGTTGTTGTGTGACGCTGTCCGCATAACATTGTGTATCGTCATTGAAATCTTAACCAATTCTTTAAAATGGATAGCTTTAAAGCTAAATTTCTGAGAATCCATGCTTGAGCAATTCAGATCATGTCTACAGCTCCCCAATAATATATTGTCTCGTTCAAAAAACAATCCATTCAACGAGGAGTGCGATTCTTTCGTCAAATACAAAGTAATGTTGTGCGGCTTGCCTTCCTCTGCTGGGATACACTCAAACCCTTGCTCTAATTTAGAATATTATATGGTTTTAGAAGCATACATATAAACTATAATTATTAATCAAATAAGTGACTGCTGTTTTACAAACAGAGCTGAACACCATTATAGGCTATGCATTTAATTTAAGGTGTTTAACAATAGAAACGTGATTCTTTAGAAGGATACAAAATTAATATATATGTAATATATATGTAGATATTTTTGGCTATGCTTACCGCTGTATGACAATATCTGAGTCAACAAACATAAAACAGGCGTTAACTTCAAGCATGATTGACTAAGAGACATGTTGGTGTGATTTTGAGAGTTTGACTAATACAGATACTTTTAAGTTGCTTTACAGCCGGAAAGAGGATCGCTTCAACCAGACATGAATGACACACCACTTCAAGCTATTAAACCACTGATTGTTATCTAGAAAATAACATGTGTGACTAAGTATTGTATAAAAAGCTGTTTAATTATACACTTTTTAGCTCTAAAGATATATTGATCTAAATATTACATTTAGTGAAAGTAAAATAACGATTAAAATTCATTGAAACATCTACACCAATCAGTAAAAAAAACAAAAAAAACGTTATTTACATTTTTATTGACTTAATTTTGTATATTTCTTATTAATAATGGTTTGACTTGATTTTGATTTACATAGCACATCTATATATACCGTTCTAGATTTGCTGCGGGTACATATCATAAAGACCTCACTGAGTCATGACGGTTACGCACAATATTAATCCCGTTACAGTTCTTCTTGACTGGTAAGTGTAGTACACTCCCTTATAGGTAAAGGATTTATAAATTAATCGTTATTTTATATATATATATAAATATATATATATATATATATATATATATATATATATATTGCTTTGTTTTATTATTGTTACTTTAAAAAAAAAATAAATGTCTATCAACAAATAGTATCATGCAACTTGTTCAGAAAAATGTAAGAAGATGAAATAAAGGTTTTTATAATAAAATAAATAAAATTATAAATAAATATTTATTTTATATATATATATATATATATATATATATATATATATATATATATATATATATATTGCTTTGTTTTATTATTGTTACTTTAAAAAAAAAATGAATGTCCATCAACAAATGGTATCATGCAACTTGTTCAGAAAAATGTAAGAAGATGCAATAAAGGTTTTTAGAATAAAATAAATGAAAAAGATGTTGTTGAAAATAATACTTCAATTAACCAATTCCGGTACATTTTTTTATATAGTCATAATGTGTTTAGATATTTTACTGTCTAGAAGTGGCTTGTGGCAGTGCCAGCCTTTAGGGTGTACGAACAGTGCCCTCGCACAAAGCACCCTGTAAATATTTAAATTCCATTATTTATTAAAGTGCAGTGTGAACCTTGAGAAACGGTATTCTAACTGAAACAAAGTACCTTAGGAAAAATTAACCGCCTTAATTAATGTGCATTTTAAAATGCATATGGCTAGCTACATGTATAGCATCATAACACGTGATCCATAACCTATGTCGCAATCAGAAAGAAAGCGGAGCCATACAGGGAGAGGGAAGGGGGCGCCGAACGGGTGCTTCGAACAAGGCAAAAGTTTATCAAAGGCCGGCGTTGCTTGTGGCTATCTTATATATCGTATGGATAAATGGATAACCATTTTTCAAAGTTACTTAAGTTTTACTTAAGTAGTGGGCTATGATTTTTTATAAGATGCCAAGAAGAAGTCTAAATATATTAACTAGTGGATGCATCATTTCTTTTGAAAAATCACTATTGCTTTCATAAAACATAAGGGCGTTTATGAATTGTTTTATTGACCCTTTATCCCCTGCAGCTGCAAGGTACCTCGGTTAATTGAGGGTACACGATTAAATATAGGAAAATTACTATTAACTTTGATTTCAGGGTGGAAGATATGACCTTTAAATGTAACGAGGTTCCAACGAAATTT